ACACACACACTCACACACACACACACACACACACACACACACACACTCACACACGCCTGCAGAAACAAAAATACAAATGCACTTAACGGCCCGTTTAACTTTTCCTGTTTACAGCCTGTAAGTCGGTGTCAGACACCAAATCGATGGTTCCTGTGGTGAAGCAGCCCGTGTTCCTGCGCAGTATGTCCGCTCCCTCAGATCTGGAAATGATTGCCAACAGTGATGTGGAGTTCACACATGGAGCACAAAGGTACCTCAGACACAGCAGAAGCACCAAATCACAGCTAAAGAATGAATAGGTCTAATTTCTGATATATAAAATAGTTAAAATATGCACACATATCAGTTGAATTATATATTAATGATCCAAGTTTCTATTAAACAATATTAAACTATATTATTCTGTGTAGTTTAATATTATTATTAAACTATATTAATCTGCAGAGGAAAAGCTTTTTGTGATTATTATTATTAAAGCTGAATTATTTATTTATGCATTTACTAATTTATGCATTTACAAAGTTATGCATTGATTTTTATTTATGCATTTATTTATTTTTTGTGAAACTTCTTTCAAAGTTCAGTTTCTCAAAAACATGACTCTGTTCAGATGAGGGAGTGTTCAATAAATCAATTTGTTGTAAACCATTTAGTGATGTTTGTGGCTCAAAAATTACATGTCTTTTTTAATGTTACGTAAAAAAATTTTTTTTTTACACTTTGCTTATTGCTTTAATAGGTACATTTGGGTAAAAAGCAAAATGTTTCTGTAAATTTTGCAACTAATTGTTTGACTGTCTAGCATTTATTTATGCATTTATTTTATATTATTATGTTTATCTTTATTAATTTATTTAATAATTATTATTCAGTAATTTGTTGTGAACCATTTAATTATGTTTGTGGCTTAATTACATGTCAAATTTATTGTTATGCTAATTTGGTTTTTAACTTACTGCTTAATTAGGTAATTTAGGTAAAAAAGCTAAATGTTGCTACACTTTTTTAAAACTAATTGTTTGGCTGTCTAGTATTTATTTATGCATTTTATTTATACATTCATTTCTTTATTTATGCTTTTATTTCTTTGTATTTCTTTTATGAATTAATATTTAATAATTTGTTTCTAAATGATAGGGTTGGGTATCGTTTGAATTTGATCAATTCCAATTTGTATTGATTCCCAGTTTCGATTCCAATGTGGTTTAGTCAAAGATTTAGATATCAAACATATTTATTCTGTGTCTCTTTCTGCAAAACATTTAATTGCTGCTGAATACCATGAACAAAAATCAGCTGGCTGCATAAAAACCGGGCTCGATTAAGAGCTGTTTGTTTGCAAAATAGAGCTGGGCACGATTAAAACAAAATAAATTGAAACTTTTTTTTTTTAATTGGAGGTTGTGGTTCTCTCACAAATCTGAATAGACAACTAAACAAAATCTCATGTAATTAATGAATGGAATGATTCGATGACTCACTCAAGATTCACTTGTTTCATTACTGGATGAGTCAGTGTTTTTGAATGAATCTATTGAATGAATGATTCAAAGACAGATTCATTTTTAACAGCCCTTTTTCAGCACCTAAAAAAAAAAAAAGATGCGCACACAGGAAATCGAAAATGTTACAACAGTTATCCGTTTCCTGACCTTAAGTATTCGATTCTCTAATTGGAATTGATTTTCGATTCCCAACCCTACTAAATAAACAATTTTTGTAACATTTGTGGCTCAATTATTTGTGACCCTGGACCACAAAATTAGTCATAAGGGTCAATTTTTTTTAAATTGAGATTTATACATCATCTGAATAAATAAGCTTTCCATTGATGTGTGGTTTGTTAGGATAGGACAATATAGTTGTAAAGTAATCCAATAAAGTTTTTATATATTTACGGTAGGAAATGTATAAAATATCTTCATGGAACATGATCTTTACTTAATATCCTAATGATTTTTGGCATAAAAGAAAAATGGATAATTTTGACCCATACAATGTATTTTTGGCTATTGCTACAAATATACCCCAGCGACTTCAGACTGATTTTGTGCTCCAGGGACACGTTATATTATTTATTTTGGCTTATTGCTTTAATAAGTAAATTCCAAATGTTGCTACAATTTCTATACTAACTAACTAACAGCCAGTCTGTCTGTGTAGGAGGCACCTGCATCCATCCAGTCACCGGAGCAGCTCTTTTACTCTGCTGCAGTCGTTGGTCATCGAAGACAGCAAGGACAAGCCCACGTACAGCGTGCTGCTGGGACAGCTGTTCGCCTTCATAGGAACCACTCCTGATCAGACCGTAAGATCAGACTCACTCAGTAGGACACTGGTGTTGCTCTCAGACGAACATCAGCACTTAAAGCGCGTCTTCTGCCTGCAGGTGTCCAGCAGCAGCTTCCTGTCCGCGGCTCAGACGCGCTGGAGGAGAGGCCGCACCCGGAGACAGGCTCTGGTTCACATGAGGGAGCTGCTCACCGCCGCTGTTCGCGTCGGAGGAGTCACACATCTGGTCGGCCCCGTCACCATGGTGCTGCAGGGCGGACCGCGGTACATTTAACCTCAGATATTTACACAGACACTACTGTCCCACTGTTAAAACGGTTATTCCATATACGTAGTAAGGTTTCACAAAATAAAACAGAGCAAATAAAGTGTAATGATATTAATAAAAACAGTATTCTTCCACCAAACAATGTAGTTCCTCAGAAACAGTTGCGGTTCCAACAAAGTGGTTGCCGAGCAGCACACAGAAGTAAACAAAGGTGTGTGTTTGTAGTGTAATTTACAACAGCTTAGAACGCGGCTCAGCCAATCAGAATCAAGGACCGGAACTCTCCGTTTTATAATGATCAATTTATAATGTTACAAAAGATTTCTATTTCGAATAAATGCTGTTCTTTTGAACTTTCTATTCATCTGTGAATCCTGAAAAATAACATGTATCGCGATGTCCACAGAAATATTCAGCAGCACAGCTGTTTTCAACATTGATAATAACCAGAAATGTTTCTCGAGCAGCAAATCAGCATATTATAATGATTTCTGAAGACTGGAGTAATGATGCTGAAAATTCAGCTTTGATCACAGCAATCGGTTACATTTTAACAGATATTCACATAAAAAACAGTTATTTTAAGTTGCAATATTATTTCAGAATATTACAGTTTTTACTGTATATTTGACCACATAAATGCAGCTTTGGTAAGCAGAAGAGACTTCTTACCGACCCCAAACTTTGGATTTTTGGTTTAATATTGGTAGATCAATCCGCAGATCGTTGCATCTCTGCTTTGGAGCTTCAGTTGCCCCAATCGCCTGCGCCAACAGCATCGGCCTGCTGTGCACCATCCCCTACACCAGGCAAGCACTCTGCCCTTATTTCATCAAATCAAATATGGAATTCTGTCCATATGGAATTATGTAACAAGACCAAGGTGACGTCAGCGGAACAGGAAATTATTTCTTCTTAGAATTAATGTGCACTGATTAGTATTACAGCAACACTTGGAAGGTGTGTAAAAAAAAAGAAAAAAAGTAATTGGTGCCAATTTTGATATAATGGTCAGTTAAAACTCCAACTTTCTTTTACAGTAAAAAGTGCCAGTATCATATATGTAGTATTAAAAATACTAGAAAGTAACATTTATTTTTATATTTTGAGTTTTCATTTTAATTTTAGTTTTAGTAATTTTATGTGCTTTTGTGTTTTTTCTTTTCTTTTTTTACCCTCAATATTTCTGTTTAGCTAATTCCTTTTTTATTTAATTTTTAGGTGATGAATAATGCAGTCATTTTGATGATGAAGGGTGTTAAATGTAAAATTCCAGCTTGCTATTGCATAAAATTTATGTTTTCATTTTAGCTTTCTTTTTTTTTAAATAATCTAGCTTTTGTCATTTTTATTAGTTTTTTCTCTTGCTGTTACAGTAGCAGTGCTATTTTAGTATTATTTACATGCTATGGTAGTATTTATTAACATTTTAAATTACCTTTTATTATACTATTTTCAGTTTTCATGTTAGTTTGTTTGTCATTTTTTTAAATTAATTTTTCTAATTATTTTATTCCAGTTTAAGGTGATAAATAATGTAGTTATGATGATGAATCATATTGATTTTAAAATCCCTATGTACTGTTACAGTATCAGTGTTATTAGCAGTTAGCATTATTTATTTCATTTCATGTCATTTATTTTTATTTCAGTTTTAGATGATGAATAATGTTGTAATTTTGATTTTATATTTTCAGTTTTCATTTTAATATTTGCTTGTTTTTGTTGTAAATTTGTTTTATGTAGTTTTGTCATTTTTTTTATTAGTGTTTTTCCTAGGGATGCGCGATATTGGACTTTTGCCGATATCCGATATGCCGATAAATTTCAACTCATTTTGGCCGATAGCCGATGCCGATACCGATATATAGTTATTTTTAATTTTGGTTAGTTTTTAACAAGAACTTAATTGTTAGAATTAAATAAACAATAATACAGTTATTTTATAATGACAGTACATTGAAGATTTGAAAATAACTAAATAAACTATATATTAATCACTGCACTTTTTTTTATCAGAAAGATGCAGTGGTAACCGTAACATTTTATTTTATCAAAAGCAAAAGAGTTGTAAAAATTCTGAAAATCTTTTAGAGATCATAATTTGTTTAAAAATATAACATATTACACATGGATGAATAAATCAGTAAATATAAAATTATTTAATTTAAGTGTCATGTTTGTGATTTTTTTTTTGTTTGTTTTTGTTCATGTAAGCTATAGCTTCTGACCTTTAAATCAAAACATACTCATGTTTTTATGGCATCAATTACTGCTTTATTTAATCAGAAACACAGTCTAAATATTATTTGTGTATTTTGCTTTAATTTTTTTTAGAAGTAGGCCAGCTCCCCCTACCCTAAAACTCCTTACTGAGCAGGCATTAGGACCCGGGGGAGGCTGCCGCTGCACGTGCTATTACTGTTTACTCTATCATACACCGAACACGTCATTCTGTACATGCATTCTCAGTTTAAATGCAGCGATCCAAAACAGTGAATCCAATCACCATTCAGGCAAAACTTTGCTTCAAGAATGAGCCAGAATGCTGACGTGATCTAATCGCATTGTTGATGTGATCTAATCGCTATCTCAACTGTGAGTTCATGTATTCTTCTTATCGGCAAGACATATCGACATATGCTTTATTTAATCAGAAACACAGTCTAAATATTATTTGTGTATTTTGCTTTAATTTTTTTAGAAGTAGGCCAACAGCTCCCCCTACCCTAAAACTCCTTACTGAGCAGGCATTAGGACCCGGGGGAGGCTGCCGCTGCACGTGCTATTACTGTTTACTCTATCATTCACCGAACACGTCATTCTGTACATGCAGTCTCAGTTTAAATGCAGCGATCCAAAACAGTGAATCCAATCACCATTCAGGCAAAACTTTGCTTCAAGAATGAGCCAGAATGCTGACGTGATCTAATCACATTGTTGATGTGATCTAATCGCTAGCACACCCTGAGCACATGAGTTAATGTATTCCTCTTATCGGCATGACATATCGGCATAATTTTCCATATCGGGCCGATGCCGATATTTACATTTAAAGCCATTATCGGCCGATACCGATATTGGTCCGATAATATCGTGCATCCCTTTTTTTTTTTTCTCAAATTGTCTATTTAGCACATTTATTTTATTACATTATTAGTAAGTTTAATGCATTAATCTCAAATTTACTTTATTGCAGTAAGTTTCCAAGGCAACATTTCTCATTTTTATTTATTAATTTTTTTCAAAGTAGATTTTATTTAACCTTCACTAGTTAAAACTAACACTGTACAACAGAAAATATGTCAACTCTGTCAACATTTTATTAGTATTATAGACCATATGTTAATAATGAGGAATATTCCGATGACGTGGCGTTCCTTCCATCTGTGTTGCTCCGGTCAGGAGTGAGGAGCAATGTCTGGTGCGCAGCGGTCTGGTTCAGCTGATGGACAGACTGTGCAGTCTCAGCAGTCAGAGAGACAGCAGCTCCAGTGAGAAACAAACCAAAAAACAGAAAGTAGCTACGATGGCCTGGGCTGCTTTCCAGGTGCTCGCCAACCGCTGCATCGAGTGGGAGAAAGTCGAAGGTGAGGAAAGTTCACCGCAGCCACGGATGGGCTGTATTTATGATACATGTATTTCAAATATAAAATAGGATTTTGTAATTTGTATCTGATAGGGTTGATGAAAATGCCTTTATATTTTGGATCAACATTTTTTTTTGTGTTTTAGTAGTTTTAAAATACTTTGTAAGAAGTCTTCAATGACGACATCGTAAAAAATGCGGCCTCTACTCCGTAGTTTGCCCAGATTTGTTACTACACTATTAATGTGCATGTGTCATCTATACTTCTGTGGCTCTCAATATATTGAGTGGTTGGAGTTGGCTTAATACTCCCTGACAAGTTCTGTTGATACTTTCTGATTACGTTTCTGGCTACATTTAAAATCAAAACATATTGATCATTTAATAATTGTCGAAATGCTAAAATGTTTGTTTTCAACGTCCAAATAGGTGTCCAATGATTGATAAATAAACATTTGATTGCTGAATATTGTACCCTATTGTACCCTTTAGTAGGATCATGATTTTGCATACTGCCTGACACATAAGACATTATATTTATGATTAACAATCAAACGATTGACTAGTTAGAAATTAGTTGCTATGAATACAGGTGCCATCAGTTGTCTTCTTATGAATGACTTGTTTGTCATTGAGTCAGTGTTGCTGATGCAAAGTAGGCCTTTCATTACCAAACACCAAGTAACTAAATTAGGATACAATTATGAGTCATTCTGGTAAACATTAAACTGTTGGGTATTTTTGGTCTGTTAACTGGTTGCATATGTCAGATTTATTGCAGGACTCGGGCAGAGAAAAGCTGTTGCTATTAAACATTGTTACTTAACTGAGTAACAATAACATTACTTAACTGAGTCAGTGCAATGGTGAAGGGATAGATCAAATAGGCCAGTTGATGGAAGGTTTGCGAAGAAATTTCACGCTCTCTTGCAAAAGTATTTTTAAAATACAAAAATACAGTAGTTTATTTTGATACATGGTGTGGCTGCTGTATTTAGTAGTTTATTTTGGAACACTTAAAATTAAGGTATTTGGTATTTTATTTTAAAATACATTTGGATGCATCTTTCCCCAAGCCTGTTTAAGGTTAACTGACGCTAGCGCTGTTGTTGATTAGGAGGCTCCACAGACGCAGTGCATTCTGGACTGGCTCGACAGGTGTCTAGCCTGCTAACCAATCACCTGGCTCGCGCGACAGACTGCTGCGGGAACCAAGCGGCGGGAAACGACGCCCTGCAGGATGTGCTCAGTTTGCTCAACGATCTTTCCAGGTACTTCCCGTTTCACATGAACAACTTCTCTGTTTATACTACGGATGTAATGATTACCGGTTTGACGATAAATCATGATAAAATTTCCCACGGTTTGTATTCTGCTGCTCCATAAGCGCCACCTGCTGTCAGAAAGTGGATTTACAGAGAGTTACATTTACATTCAGCCTGGGTGCAGTTCTTGTCTGGCCAAAAAAAATAGACAGAATTTCGCATGCCCTGCTGTGAATTTAGACCAGTTGATGAAATGCAAGCTTATGTGGATTCTACACATTTAAACAATTCGGATAAGTTATCTAGAATTATTTATGGAGCACATAAAATGCATATAATAATTTATTAATCAATCTTCATTTTGACTTAAACCTTGTATTTATTTAAAGGCGGAAATGTGAGGTTTACCTTTTTATGAAATTTTTTCAAAGCTTTAGTTGAACATTTACATTAGATATTTGAACATGCTATTAGTTTCCACTCAGCGTGCTTTTGCTTATCAGCTCGCGCACATCAGCTATACAGGCATTAATACTGAATGTTTAGCATTGCTAATTGCATACATATACTCTAACATTGCTAATTGCATACACATATCTCTAACAACTCCATTCTGCTGTCTGTTGTTGATGTTTCTTTGTCTGAAGACGGCTCTTGTCACATGCTGTGTGGTATCGGCGTTTGGTATCGGGGCAATTTAACGAGTACGAGTACAGGAGCTCAGTATCGGGCCCTTGGCACATCCCCACAGGTTTGAACTGTTGCATCTCTCTTTCTCCTCTTCCAGGAGCCACATTGGCAAAACCATCCTGAGCCAGCCTGCCTGCGTGTCTAAACTGAAAACAAGATTATTTTACTTGTTTCAAGCAAAAACTCACTTAATTTTGACTTGTTTTTTTTTTTTTGTTTTTTTTAAGAAAACCTTTCTTGATTTAAGCGTTTTTAGATATTTTAGCTGTTATTGTTTTAGTAATTATGCAAACAAAAACTAATTTTATTTGTTGTTTGTTGATTTTAAATATAAAACTTGGTGAAACGATTTGTATGTCAGTACTTTTTTAACATTTCCAGCACATTGTAACAATACCGTGATAATAATGATAACCGTGATCATTTTGGTCACTATAACCGTGATAAGAAATGTTCATACCGTTACATCCCTAGTTTATATAAAAAATAACTCTTTTTATGGAAATTCTGTAGTTTAAAAGAATATACTTAGGTGTGAACTGAATGTTATGTTTTGTAGACACTTAATTACATGCTAATTACAATAAAATTTTGTTATAGTTTTATACCAAATGCAGTTAGCTAAAAATGTTAGTGCTTTTTTAGCCACTTAAGTAGGACTTCAGTACATCTTTACATGTAATTTCATAATGACTTTTTATTGAGATTTGGTTGAATGTACTGACAAGCATTAATGGCAAACTAAAATATACTGTAATGTAATTTCTATTGAAGCTTGCATGTCATGTATTTAAATATATTTGTAATTATACATTTGTATAGTTTCATCAAATTTCTCTCTCTCTTGACGTTAAGTAATGTAACTTGTGCATTGTTTTACTTACTTGTTTTTGACACATCCGACCGAACTACAAACTTTCCAGTGATGTCTGTGAGAAAGGGATATTAACTCGACAAGCTCGCGCATCTGCGCCGCCGCGCGCTCAACCCACTTAGCATGCTTTGCTTATCAGCTCGCACACGTCAGCTATACAGGCGTTAATACTGAATTTTAACATATTCATTGCATACATATACTTCGTAGACATCCTTAATCTTTAATAACCATTCTGCTGTCTGTTGTTCTGTTGTCGGTGTTTCTTTGTCTGAATACGGCACTTATCACATGCTGTGTGGTATCAGCGTTTTGTATCTAGACATTTTAACGAGTACGAGTACAGGAGCATAGTATCGGACCCGATACCAATACCAGTATCGGCGCATCCCTAGTAGGTGGCGGCAAGTGACTGTTAATAAGTGAACATTTGAGTCATTAGTTCAAGCAATTCTTTCAGATGGCTAATTTGTTCAAGAATCAAGCAAGTGAATCAAACATCTTTATGAATGGATCACTGAATGACTCATGATTGACTCATTGACTCACGATTCGTTCAAAAATGCTAAATCATTCAGTAACGAAACTGCTGTGTGCTGCTCGGATATTATAGAATGATTATTACTTGTTTATTGAATGAATAAAATCATTGTCAAATTTGCAATCATGCTGATATTCAGGAAACGGCACTCTCTTGGTCATCTCATGTTGCTTAACTAGGCTACATTATGTTATAAATATAAAACCTCAATTTTTTACCATAGTATGTTTGTTCTGTGAGTTTCTTTGTCTGTGCTGTTGTGCTCATTAGTTTTGATTTCTTCACGAGATTCTCTCACACACAGATAGGCTGTGTTAGTCTCAACTGGTGGTTACTGTCAATACATTACTCTTTTTCAATCGTCATTTACAACAAATATAATCAAATCAGAATCATTAAATGGCAATTTGCACCGACCGGAGACAATTACCAAAATTGTTCTGTGCGTGTATCACATCAATGTACATATTTTGCAATAGCAAATTAAAAAGTTAATTATGAAGGCGCTATATTCAAAATAAACTGGTCATTTTTTTCTTCAAAACCATCTAAAATTTTTAATGCCTGACTTTTAATGCTATTTAAAGGGATAGTTCACCTAAAAATGTAATGCTATTTAAAATGATAGTTCACCATGAATTACTCACCCTCATATCATTCCAAACCCGTAAGACATTCATTCATCTTCAGAACACAAATTAAGATATTTTTGATGAAATCCGAGAGCTCTC